TGCAACCGTTTTATGATTGTCTGCTGAGATAGGACCATTCTTCTAGATCTAAAAGTATGATCCAATTAGCGCGAAGGAAACTTCCAACAGTTGCAAAACAAACGTTCTGCTGAACGCAGCCATTGGCGTTCAGCAGAGAAAGCAGCTTTGCAACTGTTGTAAAATTCTGCAATATGATTGATTTATACATGTAGATCTGTAAGAAATCAAAAGCAAGAACCAATCGTATTGAAGAATTTTACAACAGTTGCAAAGTTGCTTTCTCTGCTGAATGCAGCCATTCTTTGATTGGTCAATTAGTAAAATTCTTTCTTCTGATTGGTCAGTCAAATGCTTTGAAACATTTGTGGACCATACTTAATGTCTCAGAACTGTATTTATTATATATGCGATTCAAAAGCCAAATAAACATTTTAAGGGGATCCTAAAGTCGTCTCTATTACCGATTAAATCATGATTTTTTTATAACAATTACTTTTTTCTCTTTTACAGATTAGAAAATCCTTTTCCAAGATTAAGGTACCCCCTTAAAACTTAAAGAAACTTAAACAACTCACATTGCACACTTATTTATCCTCTGAATATTTTTTTTAAACGTTCTCTGAAAGTTTACAAGAATTTTCACCAGTTATTGTTGAGCTAATAATAATTAACAGTTACACTGTAATTATACATTAAATATTAGACTTTCAAACGCGAAGAGAGTTATACACGTAAATTGCACGTGTCTCGTATTAAAAATAATAAATCTGTAATTTTATACTTTCTAAATGCGTATATTAATTGTACTACTAAATCGACATTTATCTGAAATATTTAATTATATAAAGTAAGCAAGAGTCTTCAATTAAAAAAAAACAAAATAAGTATGAACTTCTAGGAAGCAAAATTCGCATTTAATCAACCCTGCAATTTCATGAACTTTTCATCATTCGGTACCTGCATTACTTTTTTATTGAAGACGTAATATCAAATTGCTTGAAATTAATCAACTATCACGATTCGCGAAGCGTATGTTGCGCCGGCTGCGCGCA